AGTCTGGCGGGGGGAGAAGGAGCATCTCTCTTGGGCAGCCTCCCCAAACCACCCAGCCAAGCTGCAGCGCACAGCTTTGCCACCTCCTTCTATTGCTCCTGTTATTATTTATATTATTTTTGGGTTAGAAACCTTACCTATCCTCTTTACGGATTAAGACACAGCTATTTCCTCTGGGCTGTTTCCACCACCTGCAAACCTGGCCCCTTTTCAGCCTGGAAATCTGCCGAGACATCATGCCAAAAAACCTGCAAACACCTTTGCAATCCCCCAGCCATCTCCTCACTCTGCCGGTCACGCAAGCCAGGAGCAGGCAGGAAATTTGATATATAACCTCTGGTTGCTGTGGGTTACGCAGCACCTTTTTAAATAGGCATGGAAAAATGAAGGGCCTGGAATGATTTTGATTTTTTTTTCTTTCCTTTTCCTTTTTTAATAAGAAAGTTGCTATTGTGAAAGTAGCAATTGTTTTGTAGCTGCGAGCGTTTGGAAACAAACAGGCTCGTATCAGACAAAGCCAGCAGGGGCTAGGGTGGATGCTTTCAGATTTTTAATAAATAATAGTCCAGTCATCATTTTGGAGTGCAGGAGTCCATTTTCTGAAGACACCAGGAGATTTTGGCTCTCTGGAAGGCTCATGGGGTTGGACATATCTAAAAAAGATGAAGGATGCTCACTCTTCCAAGGTCTCTTCTGGTGTTGCAGAAATTTCAGCCACACTTTGCCTCCGTTCCTTGAGTCCATCATCTCGGGGTGATTCAGTCGCTGAAGGAGAGGCGATGTGTTTTGGGTCTCTTTATCAAGGCCCTTCATGTGTTAGTGTTGGCAGCTCCTCCCAGAGCAGCTCAGTGCTTCAACAGAGGGCCCAGGATGTCCTGAGTCTCTTCTGCAACCCTTTGGTTCGTGATTTTCTCTGAAACCCTTCAGGAATGCTGAGGGGCCTTAAGGATGGACTCAGGGAAAGGAGCTGAGGGCAATAGCTCAGCAAGCGGGGTATCTGCAGATGGCTGTGGAGAAGTTGCTTTGGGCTCAGAAGTATTTACGTAGGAGACACAGGCTTTGAACCTCCTGCTTTGATTTGCCCAAACCTGTAAAATACGGAGGTAAGAAGACCCAAGAAGGTGTCCCAGTGCTAAACCTGCCGTAAACGTGCTTCCCCAAGCTTGGCCTTTTTTCCTTGGCTTAGCCCTCAGCTTGCACCTCGGGATACCAGGCTGCAGCTTCAGGTCTCACACCCACCAGCCAGTGTGGCTGCACTGGTCCAGTGTCCTTGGATTATTAACAATAATTAATAATAATAGTAAATCAACCTCTATTAGTTGCTGGAGGAAGCACAGAGAGGAGACAAGTGGATGGTACCCAGAGCTGTTGCATCTCTGGTGCTGAGTGATGCCTCCTGATTTCTCCTGGGGAACATCTCAAATGAACAGAGGAAAATAAATGGGGAAAATAAATGATTTGAGCCAGGGTGGAGAGGGACAGTTGCCCCTGCACCCCATTTCCGGAGCTGTTGAGCAGGTCTGTAGAGCTGAGGGCATCGCTTTCCTGCAGCCGTCCTCCTTCCTGGCTGCTCCTCGCAGGGAATCATGGCTGGGGAAAAGCATTTGTCATACCAACTTTATTTACTTATTATGTTACTTTTTGGCTTCGGTGCAGGTCATAAATAATGATTAAGCAGAAATGAGTGTCGCCAAACTGTCTCTTGGGCTGGGGTCGGGCACTGCTCTTGCTGCTGTTGGAGGTGCCCCGAAGGGTGGGCTGTGTTGGGGGAGATTGGGAGAGCTTGGGGAGAAGGGGATTTTTGCTGTATTTTGGGGGTTTTTTTGTTTTGTTGCTCTCACTATAGCAGCAAGAGAGAAACTGGAGGGTGTTTGAAAGACAAAAATCACTAAAAATAGAATATGTGGGACTTCTACTGCTCCCTGAGGCTTTATTACTGAGCTGCCAGTGCCCAGAGCTGAACTGTGATCCTAGTAGTGTGCAAGGCGAGCTGGTGGCTGAGAGCTGGCTGGGAAAGGGTGGCAGGAGCAAGCCCCTTCCTGCAGCTCCTGCCTGGTCAGACCCTGCCCCATGGAGCTTCCCAGGGCAGAAGCGGAAACCCAGACCCAATTCCCTCTCTGCTCCAAGAAAAACACAGGCACCTTCTTAGGAACTGGCTCAACATCGCTTCTCTCTGATGGAAATAAAGAGCTGGAGGAGTTGAACATGAAAAAGGCAAGGGAGAGCTGGAAGGATTTGGACAGGAGTGGTGGGCAACCAGGGAGGGGACTGAGCCTGGTGCCAGCGGGGCCATCACTGGGATGGGACTGGCTAGTGGATCTTCAGGCTGGGAATGTGGGTTGTACCAAAAACTCACTGCCTGATGCTCTGTCTCCATCTTTCCCCCTTGCAGATGTTCATCATGGAGAAGGTGGAGGGTGCCCAGTGCAGCCTGCATGAGTTCAGCATCACCGGCTCCACCTATGCCCCTGAGGGACAGATGTGAGTGTGGGTCCCCTCTGCTTCATGGGTGACATGGGGTGGCCCTGGGCTGGCAGTATGGTTGGGGGCAGGTGGGAGGGTCAAGCTCCTCACCACGGCTGGGCAGGTGGGAGGGTCAAGCTCCTCCCCACGGCTGGGGGACCCCGGGCTTGCCCACAAGTTGGGGAGAAAGGGAGATTTTCCATGATGGTTTGCAGACACACTGAGCCCTGCCTGGGCTTCCAAGCGTTGGGTGGTTGCCCTTCACTTTTGTTGGGAGCCAGGACAATTGTGTCACTGTCCCTTGTTGCCGGCTCCTGCCCAACACGATGGGGGGACACATGCCCCGGCTCTGCCTGCCACCCTCCCTCTGCTCAGCAAAGGGATCCTGAGTGCTCGGCTCTCCCTTCATTAGCCATTCCCATAAAATGAGCCCACTCATGACCTGGAGAGGAAGTCAAAGGTGGGATTAGTGATGATGGAGGCTTTCCACAGGACATACTCATTCTCCATATTTCTGAAGCCTGCACATTTTTGGTATCAGCTGGCAACTGTTACCCCTGCCCCAAGCAGGGCCCGTGGCCAGCAGCCTGTCCAGAGGGACAATGTGCAGAGGGACTTGCCAACAGCTTCAAACCCCGGCAGGAAACGCTCCCCAAGCTCTGTGTCCTCGGCAGGGATGGCTGAGATGACTGCTGTGCCCAGGGCATGATCCCACGGGACGTGTTATGGGGCAGATGTGGTCTTTGCTGAGCTGCAGGTGAGGGTGGGGAGTGGAAGCCAAGGGCTTTTCCCTGCTGCATTATTACACACGTGGGGTTTTCTGCTGTTGTGTTGGTTTATTTCCCCTCCTTCAAAGGGAGGTGATGCTCCCTGGCGTGAGGAAGGTCTGAGAATGAGGAAGATGAGAAGCTCAGGTGGTGATCGGAGCACTCTCCGCTCCCCTTCGCTTTGCTGTGTGATCCTGGGTACATCCTTCACTGTGGTCCCTTCTGCTCATCTGTGGAGCAAATATCATTCATCCCAGCCTCAGACTTAACTTCATGAATATTTATAGAGCCAATTTGATCCTTGGCTGGGAAGCTCCATTAAAAAGTGAGTGAGGTCATAAGCTGGTATCAATCAGTGTGTTTCAATTAAATGAGGAGGGCTGAGGGGCTGAACTCATGTCTGCTAACGTCTGAAGCTGCAGTGTCCCCTCTTCTCCAGGGTCTGCCTGCATGGAGGCTCCGTGTTAGTCTGCAGCATTGCTTTTGAGTTCTGCCTCAGCCCCGTGCTCAGCTTTGTGCATTGAGGGGGATGCAAGGGCTGGCTTTGGTGTCATGGAGGTGAACCTCCCCACTCCCCCAAGGCTGGTGGGACCAGAATGCAGGGTTTGCTTTAACCTGGTCTCAGCGTGGGGGATATTGCTTGCTTGACCTTGGGTTTGCTCACCTCCCTGCACAGCACCCAGCCAGCACTGCCTTTGCTGATGCCTTTCCCAGTGTGTGGGTCTCACCCAGCTCTGTGCAGGGACAGCTGATGATGGGGATATACCCC